TAAATTTATTTACTTAATTGTTTAAACAAGGAATTATATTAAAATAGATTCGTAAAAAAAACATTTTTAAAGAAACATTTTAATGTAAGATAAAAAAAATAATGTTAATTTTTCTGATTACGGATTCTTATTTAATCAGGATTAAAGAAGTCTTTGACCTCAAATAACAAAATGGCTAGCATTATGTACATTTCTAATACTTTTCAGCTATTTTCTTACGTAACGAACAGTCAGTAGTGATGAGTCTACGACGTAGCACTGGCTACGAATTCGTCCTCTGGATTTTAAATTGAAGAAAATCCGGTGACAATTTTAAGAAGTTTCCAAATAAATGATTTTATTATGCCTTTCACTTAGTTGTTTTAGATTTTCGAATAAACATACAAATGTTTTGAACGTTATTTTTCACTTTAAAGTTTTTTATTAGGTTTGAATTGAATTATATGCCTTCAAAAACCATAAACATAAATGAATTCTAATAATCATCCTTAAAAATGAAATGAAAATCCCGTTATTTTTTACATTTTAATGCCTGGAAGTAGGATTTTATTTTTAGTAAAGTTTTTTAGATTCGAAGTACCTGTGAACACTACGAATTTGCACAATAACAATAAGTCAAGTTAGAATATTTTTTTTATATATATATATATATATTAGTTAGAATATTCAGTTACTTGCGGAAAGCCGTCATTAATATTAAATAAAATGGAAAGCACTTTATCCACTGATGATGATGATGATGATGCCATCTAGCCGTTTTCGGCCACAGCGACTGCATTACGATGGCTTTCTATGGCGGTCGTCGTGAGCTTCGATGTGTTGGCTGAAAAGCTCCGAGCACAAACGGACATGTCAGAACACCATTGACGACATTGTAATAATTTACAGCTGTAGGTGGCCTAGCTTTAAGGTCGTCACGTTTTGCGTCTAATTGCGACCTTCTTTCCTCTTCAAAGGCGTTGACCTGCCGATGCACATGACTTCTCCACTCAAGCCTGCTTTTCCCATACTAAGGGGTCAATTTTGCACCTCTTAAAGTGTCTATTCTGAACATCCTTATAACGTAACAACTGACCACCACGTTTCCGTTTACCATTCTGGAGTTCGGAATAGAAGATGCGCTTCGCCAGTCTCTCCTCGTGCATCCTTGATACGTGACCACACCACCTTAGCTGGCGTCTCATTAAGTAGGCCTCTATGCCGAGAACTTTGGCTCGCCTTAAAACATTCGTATTTCTAATACGGTTCGACCATCTGATGTTCATGATGTTTCTGAGGCATTTAAGATGAAATTTGTCCAAAGTCCTTATATGCCTACGATAGAGGCACCACGTTTCTGCTGAATACAAAAGATTTGGGAGAACTATTGCCATATACACAGAGATCTTAGTAGTCAACTTGAGATCGTGCGAGCGGAAAACTTTGGGTTGCAGTTTGCCAAAAGCAGCTGCTGCTGCACATATTCTCTGATCCACTTCTGCATCAAGATCCCCTTTATGTGTGACTATGCTGCCCAAATACTTAAAACTCTCCACTTGTTTCAGTTTGCTGTTGCTGTTCGTCTATGTTCATAGCCATCACTTCGGTTTTCTTGACGTTTAGAAAGACCAAACTTACAACAAACGTCGTTGAGGCAACTTATTAGCGCCTGCAAACCCTCACAAGTGTCTGCCACAAAGCACAGGTCTGTCGAATGCCTTTTCAAGATCGACGAAGCAGAGGTATAGAGGTCGACCTTGTTCTTTACTTTTTTCTTGAAGCTGGCGAACAGAGAATATAGCTTCACAGGTTCCTCTCTCAGGTCGAAAACCAAACTGAGTCTCTGGAAGGATTGTTTCAGATATTGGAATGAGCCGGTTGAGGAGGATTTTCGCAAAAACTTTTCCGGGGGTAGACAGCAGCGATATTCCACGGTAAGAGTTGCAGTCCGATCGGTCGCCTTTGTTTTTATAGAGGGCGCTTATTCGAGATACTTTGAAACTATTTGGCACCCGCTCTTCGTTCCACATGGTCACGAAAAGATTCCTTATGACTTCATCAAGTCTCTCACCCCCGTACTTAAGTAGTTCCCCTGGGATGTTATCAATACCAACCGCCTTTTTATTATGCAATTGTTTGATAGCACTTTTGACTTCATATAAAGTCGGCGGCTCGTCTAGCCCAGTGGCTGTGGGTAGCGCGGACAATGACAAAATATATGCTATATCTGCTGAGCGGTCTAAATTGAGGAGGTCATTGAAATGCTGAGCCCATCGCGCAAGCACTTCTTCCTTTGACGACAGACGCTGAGAACCATCGCGTGATTTGATAGGCATATTAACACGATGATTTGTGCAAATCAGTTTTCGCACCTCCCCATAGAATGCACCAAGTTGTTTAGTATCTGCTAGCCACTGAATGTGCTCAGCTTTTTCGAGCCACCACTTGTCCTTGATATCCCTAGTTAATTTTCGCAATTCAGAACTACGCTGTTTGATGTTGTTTGCGGTACTGTACGGTCTACTGCGGTCTTGTTGTTTTAGAAGATTTCGGTGCTTTTTCAATGCTTCTGCTAAAATCTCATTATTCTCATCAAACCAGTCTTCGTTTTTGTGCATTTTTGTGCCCAGTATCTTAGAACCGACGTCCAGTAGTCGAGAAGAGAAGTCTTGCCATTGAACATGAAGATCACTATCCGACTCAGTAGAAGTAACCAGTGCAGAATTAAGAGCATGGACATATTCCTTCCTCGTTTTGGTGTTCTCAAGTTTCTCTACGTTTAAGCAAGTGGGTTTTGCTAGAGATGATCTACGAGGATATATATACGAGGATGAAGATGAAGTTTGAGTTTCGTGATAACCAGCCTATGGTCTGTCCAGCAATTTGCACCTCGCATTACACGTGTAATTCTTACTTGGGGTATGTGCCTTTGGCGAACAATTGCGTAGTCAATTAGATGCCAGTGTTTGGAACGAGGGTGCATCCACGTAGCCTTATGTTTCATCGGTAATCTGAATAGTGTATTGGTAATGGATAAGTTGAACTGGGAACAAAGGCTGAGTAATAATTGCCCGTTACTATTCATATTACCGATTCCGTGTCTACCCAACACACAAGGCCACGCTTCGAAGTTGCGCCCAACTCTTGCATTGAAATCACCCAGGATTAGTATTTGCTCTCTAGGCGAGATTCTAGCCAGAGTTTGAGCCAATTCTTCATAAAATCTGTCGCTATCGACGTCTTAATTGCAAAACCTACCCCTGAACATCTGGGTTCAGACGCGGCAGTCCCCTTCCAAAAGAAAGTGTATCCACCGCCACGCTCTTCCAGTTCTCCTTCGTCAGCTAGATGGGTTTCGCTGAGTGCAGCTATGTCTATATTGTAACGAGCAAGTTCACCTGCTACAATTGCTGTCTTACGTTCTGGGCATAGATTACTATCCCGATCCAGAAGAGTGCGTACATTCCACGCACTAAATGTCATATTGGATGATTTTATATATTTCCTGTATCGTCGACCACGAGGTAAGGGTTGCACAGGCAGCCGTGGTTACTACCTCCCAGATAAGGTGGGTGAACAATTTTTGGGACACCTTTTCTAGTCCCCTCCCCGGCTGAGCGGGGGAAGCAGTGCCTCCCTGAATAGGGCTGCTTCGTCACTCAATGTGCTGCCCAGTCCGTGCTGTCACCCAAATTGCAGCACGAAAACGACCACTCTCCTTGAGCCGCCTATCTGCAGACATCAGACAAAGCCTAGCTTGCAATACAGCCAGACCTTTCTACCTCTGTCCATCGCCATAGGACTTTAATAATCGAAAGCCATTATTCAGAAGCAGTCATTTACGCAGGATATATTAAAGTGCTTAAGTATGCGCGCAAACACAGATACACCCCAAAATCCACTAATGAATGACACTTAATAAAATTATTTTAAATTACGATCAGAAAATGTCTGCCATTTTTTATTCTAAAAATCAAGTAATATAATTATTTTAAAAGTATTCTTTATTATATATTTTGTGTATCTACCTACTGTAGGTAATATTTACTTTCCTATTTGTGTTTTGAAAAATTTTCTTTTTACATAACCATACTAATATTATAAATGTGATTTTATTATTATGTATATGTATGTTATGTATATATAATAAAAATATATATGGTAAAACTAATATTTTATATATGTAAATTTTATGTATGTTTATTTATATTAAGTTTTAATGATTTGCACTTCATGCACCTTGCCGCTCACTTATTTTCTTATATCCTTTACTATCGGTTGCCTGTAAGAGATCACTTTTAGTGATAAGGCCGCCTTTGCACACCTCTTTAATTGTATAATTTTTTTTTATGTTAATGTACTATTTTCTTGTGCAATAAAGTGTTATAAAAAATGTGAAAGATTGTGAGGATAGATGGATGGATGTTTATTACTCTTTCACGCCAGAACGGCTGAATGGAATGAAATTTGATCTGGATGAAATTTGGTACAAAGATAGATTATAGTCAGGAATAGCCCATAAGTTAAATTTTATCGTTACCAAGAAAAGAAAGTAAGTATCCTTGAAACTCTTAGTAAATATTTATAAAACCAATATCTCGTAGAATTTAATATACTGAAAATTGTTTTTGAAATAGCTCTAGAAGTTTTCAATGTATTCACTAAATGTAAATAATGCCCTAAAAATGCGTGTAAAATAACTGGTTCTGCCTAATTAGTTGTGGATTCGTTTGGTAATCGTAAACCTCGATACATCGATTATGAAAATTTTCTTACTATAATAAAAAATTAACTGCAATATAAAGACCTCTAAACTGAATTTCGGTCACAGTGGCCATCACGGAGCCATTATATATACATAGGTCATTTTATGGTGTAGTGCATGCGTGCACACCAACGCTATTTTAATTTTAGAAGTAATATATTTTTTAAATAATTATATTTATTATATACATATTACATATATATAATAAAAATTCTAGGTAAATATCTCATAAGCAAAATTTTATTGTTTTCTATTATCTAATAACATTACTACAGTCTCTACATACATCAGTCTCAATAAGTCTGTAAGTTTGCGATAAAGTAGAGAAAGTTGAACTGCTGTGTCGACGGAAAATCGCGAGGATGCAGGCAAGAAGGCACATCGCTCCTTCTACGTAGAATCCATAGAGAATACGTACATGTCCTTCTACCTGTAACGAAAATTGATGTAATAGAAGCTCAAAATGTAATGTAAATAAAATATACTAAAAATTCATAGGCTTATTACGTACTATATGCAAGAGCGAAGACAAAAAATGTTTTACTGTTTATATTTATTTACATTTGCATGTGGTTTGTGGATATATGGAAAAAATAGTAAAGAAACTCAAATTTTACATATTTTTATACAGTTTATTATTTTATTTATTTATTTTAGTACCAGGAAAAAAGCACAGAAGTGAAAACAGATACCATGTGTACAAAGGATGATTTATCTCTTAAAGAGATCTCTACCAGAAACCCTCAAGCGTGAGAAAATATAAAAATAACTAGCGGACCCGACAGACGTTGTCCTGTCTACACGTCTTTAATTTGAAAATTTCAAACTTTTTTTAATAATTTTTTTGATGAAAATTATTATTCAAATTGTGAATCTAAACCATTCCCAGATCCCCTTGAACACACACAAAAAATTTCATCAAAATCGGTCCAGTCGTTTGAGAGAAGTTCAGTGACATACACACTCACAGAAGAATTATATATATAAAGATGAGGTGCGGTGTAGGTACAAACTACAAACATCAATTATAATATAAATATATACATATACAAACATACATACATACGTACATAGATACATACATACATATTACATACATATATCCATACATACTTCAAGAAATATATAATAAGGAAATCATGTGGAGTCACATAGATAAAGTGGTTTTATAACTTATGTGAATCTTATGTTTTTAGAACTTTATTCGTCAAGCGAATATTTTACATAAAACTACTAGTATAGTATTATATGATCTGTGATAAAACTAAATGAAAGGTACAGCTCGGGCACTCTACATAATATAATTTCGTGAGAACATAACGATGAAACGCTCTTACATTTTACGTAAAGTCGATTAAAAGATCAAATAAACAAATAAATTATTCATAGAATTTATCCATATTATTAAGTAAATTGATAAAACTTTCTAATAGAAAGTTCTTCTTAGCAAGTTATAGAACAATCTAAAGTATGAAGTTGATCTAAACTTATGATTGCGAGAGGCCACGCAAATAGAATACTCTAAATAAATATCATATAGTATTTTAAATTGATATCAATTTATTATAGATATACTAGAAATCTATAAGAATATGAACATGTGTTTTAAATGGAGCTAAATAATAATTTGAATGTGCTTGTTAAGTTTTTATGTTATAATCTTATTATTATTTACTATTAATTTGTTATTTGTGGATCGATATAATTCCTTTTCAACCAACTTCAAAATAAAAACTTTTAAAAATATAATAAAAACGGACTTCAAAAGTGAAAAATGAAAACTACCAAACAGTTTTTTTTACTCTTTTGTGTTTTGAAGTCGGTTTTTTTATTTAGTGAGAAAATGTACGGGCTAATGACCAGGTCAATACACGCAACGCAACAGACAACGAAGCAAACAGTGATAGTGAGGCACATAAGTAGCTGGTTCCTTGGGAAAGGGGACGGGCCCTATTGTGGGACGCTACATGCGGTGACACATTGGCCCCGTCCCATGTTAGGGACACCGCGTCTAAAGTGGGAGCTGCGGCGGAGAAGGCTGAACTACTTAAATTGCGTAAATACACCTCCCTTAGTCAACATTATGTTTTTATTCCATTTGCTGTAGAAACCCTTGGCCTATGGAGTCAAAGTGCTAAGCTCTTCTTAAAAGACATAACACCCCGTCTTATCACCTCTACTGGTGACAGGAGGGCTGGCGCATTTTTCGCCCAAAGAATCGGCATTGCCATTCAACGGGGGAATGCGGCTAGCATTTTTGCCACTATTCCACGCGGACATGACTTGTACAGTAATAACTAAGTGTACATATGTTCTGTATATATAATTAAGTATATTTGTAATTTTCTTTTTTGTAAATATATTAAGTCACTAACGCAGTAGTCTACATAAAATATTTGGACGCTTGTAAATGTACTTTTATATTAAAAAAACGATCAATCGACTTTCATTCTTGAAAAATAAACATATTCCTAACATGTATTCCATAGTTCTATCATCAACACCCATAGTAACATTTAGTATACATTTTTTTGTTCTATTCAATAATAGACAGATTATAGATCTTTAAAATGTTCAACATATTAAAGTTGAAATTTTTTATTCATATTATATGTATGATAGGAATAAGTAATAATGAATACTTTATTTACTTAGCCGATTTATATGATGCCAGATTAAACACATATACACCTATATACATAGGTACTTATGTGCTATAAAAGTTACATTTTGCACACTTACTCGTTCCAAGCCCCCCGTAGTCGTGAATTCTAAAGGGAACATGACAGTTTCTAATGCAGTTTTGCCCCGAAGCACTCCGAACGAAACTACTCCGATCACGTAATATGAAATTGTAGCTAGAGGCACGCAGTGACCTGCGCCAATCACTCTCAAACATCTCTAGAATAGAAAAACCTTTTATTAACATACTTATCAACTATCTCTACGTATAACAAAATAATTAAGTTTCGAATGATGATAGCTGGTTATCAGGGTCAACATATAGGATACTTTTTACTGCAGGAAAATATCTCATGTTTAAGAAAGCTATATTAACCATTAAAACGTATCGCTAGTCTCTTATATATTTAATACTTCTCCAGGACTGAGTTAGTTTAATTTTCTCTTGATAATATGTGGCTTTGTCGTTGTCTCATCTGGCACTTATTTACATCGTGAGCCATGGGTATCGAATCCAATTTTTCTACAATTGTAATTTTGGACTAATAATTGTATATAAACGTTAGTAATTTAAAGAAGTGATCAAAAAAAATCAGCATAAAATATTATGATTCTTTACGAAATGCCACTGATTCCCAATCATCAATTCGAAAGGGAAAGTCATTGTGCTGAGAAAATACCAAACTAGTTAAAATAACACCCTCTTCTCCCTTTTCGCTAATTTATCAGACAATTCATGTGAAATAACAATTTCCAACCCTCTTTTATCTTTACTAGACCAGGAAATATATTTGTATGGCCAATTTCGAATTTATCTTTATTTATATGAGACTGATACATCATTTTTATTGGGGTTCGTTCCCGGAAATTCGGATCGGCACCCTATTTACTTGGCCTACATCTTCTGTGCTTTTGACTGTTATATCATACTTTTTAACTTCATTCACTAATGGTATACCGAATTCTAAATCACTTAAGAAATAATTATTTTATTTTTAGGGGTAGAACATTTTCTTGTACATATGAGAAATTATAATATTATTTATTAGAAGAAGAAAGAATTATGCAAATCAGGTTTTAATTTGCGAAGATATCGCTTATTACACAAAATAAAAGATAAAACACTCGGAAATAGTACCTCTCTTTTTTATAGTTGGTACACTAGATATCTGATCTTTTCTTTCAACAAAGGTAGTCGGTTGTCATTTTTACAGAGTATGTGTAATTTTAGTGACTAGCCTAATAATTATAAGTGTAGTTCCAAGTACGGTTCGACAGAAAGTCCAGTTTGATTCGTAAATTCGTTACACAGAAATATATCATGTGTACACTTACAGCGACTTATAGTAATTGGTGCGTGAGTCTGCTATGCATTTGACCGAGTTATACCATATTTTCATGATGATTTCTTTACTTTTCCCTATGTATTATAATTTATTATTATTATGCATGTATCAATTACATTAATGACTTAATATAATTAAATAAAAAAAACACACACCACAATATGTTTCTGAAAATTAACCCCACTAGACTTCAACAATTCGGAGTTACGACTGCAGTTTAGACTTTCTGTAACGAAATGAAATTGAATGGATAAATAGCACTATCTAGTAAATAAAAGGGATATTTTTTTTAATTCACTTTTTCTTTTATAATTTAGAATACGTATAGAATGAGTATATTGTGCCACAATATCATCGGATGGGAATCGAACCTGCAATTAATAAAATACCTGACCCTTAAAGCCCATTTGTGACCGCTAACCATAGAATAATATTTGTTTCTGGAGATTGATAAAAATGGGCGTATGTGTTACAATGTGAAGTAAATAACAGCTCGGGGTACATTTATTATTCAAGAAATAGCGCGAGAAAGAATATCCTCTCGCATAACTGAAACATAGATTTGGAATCGTATTTGTCTTGCTTACTTTCTTACTATGTGGATCACGCACTAAAGTCAGACATTTTGACATCGAAAATGTTTTATTCACTATTCCTAGAAGTGGCAAATATAGACTTGACAATATTCTTTCAAAGGTTATAATTAAATATATATATATACTAGCGGACCCGACAGACGTTGTCCTGTCTACACGTCTTTAATTTGAAAATTTCAAACTTTTTTTAAAAAATTTTTGATGAAAATTATTATTCAAATTGTGAATCTAAACCATTCCCAGATCCCCTTGAACACACACAAAAAATTTCATCAAAATCGGTCCAGTCGTTAGAGAGAAGTTCAGTGACATACACACTCACAGAAGAATTATATATATATATATATATATATATATATATATATATATATATATATATATATATATATTATAGCGTTTTCCTGCGGCTCCCTCCGCACAGTACATTAATCATCGACATACATATCATAGCTTTACATATACAGGTACAAAAATCTTCTCCGAAACAGGCTGCACCTTATGGTATGAGTATTATTCCGATCGGTTCAGTAGTTATCGCAGTATGACCGAAAAATCAGCTCTCCATTTATTAGTATAGATAAAAGAAATATGGCTTTACATATTTTGTAAGCATAAATTGTTTTAGTAAAAAATAAAATGCCTATTATTATTAATATAAATATTATGAAGTTATATAGTAAACGTGTGTGTATTATATATGATATGATATTGCAATTATCTTCTTATTGGCTGACTGACAATGAGTTAAGAAAAATGTGCACCAAACGCCGTGTTTTATAAATCAAACGGGAATAAATCAGCTATGTTCTAAAAACAAATATTTGTGCCATGTAAGAATTGAATTTGCGATCTCTAATGTTAGAGAGAAACGTCTAAAATCTAAAAGTTGAGGGGAAGAGAATGTATTATGAAATAATTTAGTAGTTTCAAAGAAAAAAAAGATTTTCTTAATATGAATTTTAGGGTTTATATTTCATCAGTTCATATTTCATCCGTTTCTAGTAAACAAAAAGTATATAGAAACAAAAAAACAGAAACAAGCGATTCAAATTTAATTTGTGTTCATCGATTCAAATCGAATCATCGATATTCATCTCAAAAACTATTTTATTTGATAAACGTTTTCAAACATTAATAACTAATTACCTCTTTTGTTTTCGGAGTCAGAATTGACGTCAAGTTTGCGAAAGTTGTCTTTCAAATACTTCGCGTATGCTTCTACGTGAACTATGGCACAAGTGCTCACGTTTACCACTGTAAAGTATAAACTCTTATATAAAGGCAGCATATTTAAACAAAAAGCAGTGCATATTAAATTAAACTTCCATAAGTTAAAATTATGCAAAGGTGACGACTTGTGTGTGTGATGGTGTCTTCGGAGGTCAAGGATTTGATATTCCGGAAGCACATGGCGGATTATCTACTTTTACACGTGGAATTCGAGGGTTTGAGTCCAGATTGGAACATATACGAGTATTTTTCGAACTATGATTATAAATATGAAAGTTTATTATGCGTGCATACGTGTGTGTCTGTGTGTGTGCGCGTGCGTGCGCGTGCGTGCGCGTTGGTGTGCGGGTGCGTATGTGACTGTGATGATTACCTTTGATTGCATGATATTATTTTTTTATGCTTATCACTAGAACGTTAAGGAATTAGCAGAGAAGTTCAGTTCAACTGAGAAATCTTAAGTGATCTCGAAAGTTGAGCAACTTTAGCAGCATCACTTAGATGAGAGACCGTTTATTGGAATTCGTCAGATTAATTGAAAGTTTTCATACTACGAAGTCCATTAGAATTAACCGTGAAACTACCTTTAAATTACATTTTATAATATTCTTGTAGGTATATTTGATTCTTTTGCATTATTTTCTTGAAAGCACAAGAGCTTATGTTAACTCAATATTTCTCACCTGCGTGGGTAAAAATTTGTAGAAGATTTTATTTTATTTTGACCTACTTAATAAAAATCTAAAATTCATTCTTTCATTCACTGAACAACAGACAATGAACATTATAAACAGTTTGGTCTTGAAGCTTGACATTTTGCGTGAGAGTTCGTATATAACGAATATGATGAGCACTAAGGTAAGGTTTTTAAAATTAATATCTTTTGGGTTTAAATAGGAAAAGGTGCTTGTATGGAAGTTCGCGATATTTAAAGTAAGAAATATTAAAATTGATATCGGTTGATTGAAATTTTATTTAATATTTCATTATAAGACTTAAAAACTAAGACTTACAGTTAAAAAGTAAGGAGCAGAATGACATACATGTATATTTAATTAAAGAAGTACATACTTAATTAAATTTATTAAAGGAAAAATATGCTTGTTTATTTTTTCTTACTTAAAAATATATGTGTAGGTATGGCTAGAATTGCGTAGATTAATGCGGATGTTCTTCCCCATACAGTGTGCGGTACTGGAGCACCGAAACCTATAAATAATTTCATATTCATCAGTCATATTTTTAAGCGTTTATGCTGTAATGACTCTGTGAAAGTAATTGCATGGGAAATCTAGTCTATTTTTTGTGTTACGGAACGGATTACAATAATTCTTATTTCTTATCGAGTAAGAAAAAGAACGTCCCCTACAGATGGGGCCTCTAAGATCATTTTAAAGACAGTGTATAAATACACAGTGGATATTAGATCCACAATAACTTACCTAAAGCAGTCATGACATACACAGCAAACAGAAATGTGCCGGGTAAGTCCCAAAACTGTCCGGGCTTGAGTCTTGCGCCTGCCCTCATCGCTAACATCGTTAGCTGTCGTTCATCCTCTATACGTTGTTCTATCGCGTGACGCCATCTTGGTGATAAGGGAGTAATCTGAAAAACGAATTTGAACTTATAATTTGATTTTGCCATACTAATGACTAATTAGACGATGTGTGTTTTTATTTAGCTAATGCTTATGTCAGGTTTTTCTAGTTCAAATGCTATTGGACATGGTATAATAAAATGTACTAGCAGAACTCGTGGATACGCCTGCGTTCAATTTATAGAAAAACTCTTTGGCTTTATGTTATACAGCTATGTACATATTTATATAATACTTTTCATACAAAAATACTAAAATGGGGGGTTAAGAGTACTAAGTAGGAGGGTAAAAAATACTTTACGACCTATTCTCATACTTATCAAATATCCAAAAAAAACATCACATATACAATACAAAGTTTGACCTCAAAAAGCTCACAAATAAAATAAAAGAACGTTGAATTCGTCCAACCGTCCTTGTATGATGGGCAAATAAACAAAAGTTCTAAAATCTGTTACAAACAAAAGTTCTAAAATCTGTTGTTTTGGTTTCTGCTGCTTCCCAAACACGATAAAATATATCTCTAAAAAAATATTCTATGTACAAATTCAGTTCTGTTCGTACAGCTCTTTTATACTATATAGAAAGAAAATAAAAATAATTCATGGTAAAGTATTCCGTATTCAAGTACCCAAGAATTCAATAAAAATGTATTTTAAAACCATAAAATGTTCTATCAAGTGCAAATATCAATCCAGTGCATAACAAGCATTGTTCGAAAAATATTGTGTATCGATCCACTTTATAAGAACCCCTTTACTAACGTTCTATTGAATGTAAACAATATTCATTTTTCCAACAATTTCATTTCGATACTCAGATATTTTTAGCTCAACATTGAATTTTTTTATCAAAGAACTGTATGCCAATTAAGCCAAAAACTGAGACCGTGTTGAAATGTTAACTGTTAAGGAAAATTAACGTAGTAAATTTTTATGGAACATTATACTTTTTTAATTGTATAGTATTTATTTAGTTGTTACCTGTGGCTTTTTCCGCTTTGTTATGTTTGTATTTTACAGCTGTGCGTGGGATTTTTATTTTTCACGATATATTTTGCGGGGGTGTCAGATAGTGTTTGAGCTATGTTTTATAGATTTTGCTCTATTAAAAACAACGGCAAAACAAAGGCAGTGGTAGCCCAGTGGTAACGCGCTCGCTTGGGAAACCGAGTGAAGCGAGTTCAAATCCCGGGTCTCGCACCTCTGATATTTTCATTGTGAATCATTTTCAACATGATTACCACTTGTTTTGACGGTGAAGGAAAACATCGTGAGGAAACCTGCATATCTGAGAGAACCTAGCAAGTTTCCAAAAGACATGTGAAGTCCGCCAACCAGCACTTGGCCAGCGTGGTGGACTATGGCCTAATTCCCCTCGTACTGAAGGGAGGCCTGTGCCCAGCAGTGGGACGTTAAAAAGGGCTGAACACACATAGGCTCTATTAAATAAAATGCTTATATAGTTTTTACTATTAATACACATCCTCCGTTATTAGTTACTGTAATTTTTATTACGTATTTTTCTCCAAATTCAATAAAATATATAACACATCATCATAAACATCGTTGAGATACCTACTAGCTATTTATCTAATCGGGACACAAAAAGAAGAAATATGAATATTTGATAAGGCCTGTCAAAAACTACGTTGATCTATTGTCATATAAAAAAGAAGGGCAAACTAAGAAACACAAATTCGCATTTATAATATCAATATTAATAAAACGTTAAATTATAATTATTACAATCGATTTCCTTTGATGATATAATAAAATTATCAATATGAGGTTAAGCTGACGCGAGAGCATTAATATTATCACTAATAAAATAAATCTACAGCTAACATTTTATTAATTTTTAATAGATTTAGGACATCAAGGCGACTGCGGGCTGCTAGGACAAAGAAGGGTTATGTGTTTGACCTGTATGTGTGTCCGGCCCTATATTCTCTCGTAATTACTGAATGGCTTAAGCGATTTTGACGATTCATACGTCAGTGTCATAGATTAATATAGTTAATATTAAAAATCAAAATGGCATCCGCCATGATGGCGCTTAAGTCGCCAATTTGTGTTTTGAAAAAAAAAAGTTTTGTAATACTTGTTCTCATCTTTTTAGTTCGCTTTTTACGCCGTCGGATTTTTTTATTTTTGTAAATTTTTTTTTGTGATTTGATATCATTAAATAGATATAGAGAGTCAGAGACTACCTATAAATAATGAAATGTAAATATAAACCGTAAATATATTAATTAATTATAATTCTTTTTATATAATTAAAAAGTTATTTATAAAAGATATAAAATATGCCCCAGTTTGTAGCAGCTAAGTAACGTGAAGCAGATTAATTGCGGTAGAGATGTTGGAAGCTGAGATTATACGATAGTGCGGTATCCGGGTACTGTTTTAAGTTATTAGTCAGATTTAGTATAGTTAGTTATTTTCTATTTCGTACTAACATAGTTAAGATATAACAACAATAAGAAATCTATTATAATTTGATAGTTGTATGATCTATACGTTATCTCATTACGGGCGTAGTAAACGATTTAGGACTAAAGAGTTTAATTTTAGAAGCTAAACAAGAAAATTAAAAAAAACTATTGTCACACACAAGAAATCGCAATGATGGGGCAATGTCTCCATCTTTTGAGATCGATCCCTGAAGTTTTATCTAATTAAGGTCATGATTTAAAGCTAGAATGTTTTAAGAAAATTACTTATACAAAATGAATATTATAAGGTAATTTGATGCCATATTTATATTTCTTTAACTCTTACTTGACCAGCTACTTAGTAGCTGGTTAAATTGATGTTGTTGATTCTCTCAGATAATATAATAATAATCACTGCTTTCCTTCACCATAAGTGGCGTGTTTATAATGTAGCAAATTATTCGCTCATGAAAATATCAGAAGATCGAGACTTAAAGTTTTAACTTTTAGTTTTTAAAGTGAGAGTGAGTCACCATATTTTTTATTTTGATCATTTTTACTTTTATATAAGAAAATTAAATTGAAATCCATACTAATATTATAAGTGCGAAAATAACTCTGTCTGCTTGTTATCTTTTCACGCTTAATACACTATACCGATTTAGATGAAATTTGATATGGAGATAGTTTAGAGACCATGGGAAGGATGTAGGATAGATTTTATCCCGGAAATCATCCCTCAAGGGTGTGAAAAAGTGGATATAAGTTTTTATGGGGAATTAATCATTTCTCAAGTAAGGGATATAAAATTCATCACACCTATGAATATATAGTCTATCTATTCAATATTAACCGTTAAAACGTACCTAGGGACGAACCCGAGTGAAGCAAGAGTGAGACGCTCGGTAAGTAGTGAGAATAAAGAAAGAAATAAATAACAATGTATTTCTCACAGCCACTGAACTTAATCGCGTTGCTTGTGAAAAATGAGGTAATTTTGACGCAAACCTACGCTATACGATATCTCATTTTGTGCTTCTTTAATACGATCTTAAACTAATATTAACTGTAACAAATATTAACTGAGACATGATTTTTTTTTGTATTAATTTGAAAACAATATTAAACTAGAAGAATTTTATTTAAAACTAGTGACTCACCTTCGCTTCGCTAGGGTTTGTCCCTGGTTACGTTTTAACGTTTAGTATAGATTGCTCAGAGATTTTCCCGCAGTAAAAAGTATCCTATATGTTGACCCGGATAACCAGCTATCTTCATACCAAATTTTATCATAATCTGTCCAGTGGTTTTCTCGTGATGCGTTCCCAGACAAATAGACAGATAAACTGTATCAATATCGATAATACTTTAACTGTATCGATAACAATGCCTTATCAATAAGATTTTCCAAAAAATCTCTCTTAATGGACTTTACTTCTTTAGTATAATTTTCTAAAACAGTACAGTTCTACTAACAATAACATGAGTAAAACAAAGCAGGTACAATCTAAGTTGTTTAAATTCTACAATAAACAAACCCACTCAGGTTGAGACTTAAATGCTCTAAATCAAGTCCGCTGTCAAGAGAGATACTCTTGTTGAAATGTTTAAATACATTTGTGTTTACAATTATAATGAGCGATTTCAAATTAAATTTCGATCATATTTTATATTAAAAGTAACATTATTTTGTATCGTTTTATGACAGCGGATAAAATTTTTAGATATTTACTTAGTGATAACAATAGATTTTTTAAATAGTACAATTTGTACCTTTAAATTACTTTATGTTTAATATTCTCTATACATAATGTGTTGATCATATTCTACTAGCATTGCCCGCGGCTTCGTCCGCGTTCAGATGACCAAAAACCAAATTATTCGGTTTTACACATTAGTATACTTTTACATTGCAGCTTGTGTATTTTTTCTTAGAAATGAGACATTTTCCAACGGTAAAAATTATCCTATATGTTGACCCGGATAACCAGCTATCACCATACCAAATTTCATTAAAATCCCTCAAATGGTTTTTCTGTGATGCGGTAACAGACAGACAAAAGTTCTAAAAACTATAGATTCGGCTTCTGTATCGATAATAATGTTTATTTCAATAAGATTTTCCCAAAAAATATTTAATGTACAGATTCGGCTTAGTTACAATTTTATTATATGTATAGATTACCACATAATCGGAGAATGGGCAATGATGCTCTCAACAGGTTCTTATGGGCGTTCTTCCACCAAAATAGTTGGCAATGTATGTCGCAGCTATTTCAACTACACAAATATTCAACAAAGTTTGTTTCTTCTTCGTCCACACCGAATTAAAGTTATTTGTCAACCATCGACTACTTAATAAGTCAAAATATCGATCATCTTTGTAACAGATATGTTTTAGATTCCAAATAACGTTTCCAATTGAGTAAGCGTAAATATACGAATATAAAAACTAAATGTCAACAGTAGATACTCGTATTTCTTTTATATTTACAGCCTTAAACGAAAATACGGTTCTTAACAAATGTAAACAACTTTCTTTACAAACAGCTTTTGTAACTTACTTTGTTA